TGAAAATTCCAAATGATGACTTTATCTCTTCTGCACAGAAAAGAGCTTAGCAAGTTTTGCTCCTCCAGGGGGAAGTAGTACCAGGCTTGGGGACATCCTGGATCCTGGAATGATGTTACTGTGCTTTCAAGTTCCAACATCTAAGGAGCAGCTGTTCCTCATGTTCATTCTCACCCATTGCTGAGGTGCTGACAGAGCTGGCAAGGCCTGGATCGTTGGTCCTGTGTAACCGAGCTGTGTGTGCTGCTGGCCCTGGGCACCCAGGCCTTTGTGGAGCTTCCTGCCAGTGCTGGGAGTGCCTAGGCAGCAGCTGCTCTTCTGCTGGGCTTCTCTCTGCAGGAAGTCCCAGGCACCTTGTCTCTACTGCAGAAGGCTGAGGAGCGGCAGGGAGGAGGGAAGTGTATCCAAGTCAGCTCCAAAACTTGGTATCCTTATTTATACGGCACATATTCTGAAAATCCTTGGGAAAAGGTATTGGCAATATGGGTGGAGATGAGAAACTCCTTAGATACTGAAAAGTGTAAAGGTGTGGGATGACTAGTCAGTAATCCTAAATACTGTACTTGCAAGTTAATATGAATGTCTGAGAAGTTGCTGTTTTCTGTGTTTGTTCTTATCCACAGACTATTGTTTTAATGTTTATTAATGGTAAATAAAGATGTGAGTACTGTTGATTAAATATTTTTTATAAAATACAGAGTCATCTCTTGTAGTGTAACAGCTTGAAAGGCACATGAGCAGAGAGAGGAATGCTGACAAAACAAGGCTATAGTATTTTGGAGTATATTAAAAGAAAAATAAAAATGAGGAGAGGCTTTTTCTGTTATTGTAAAGTTTAGGAAGACTAAACCACCAAAATAAAAGGAAAACTATATAGAGGAAGATGTGGATGTCCCAGTATGTGGGTGCTTAGGGTGTACATTTGTCAGAGAACTTGTACCTAATGCACTTAAATTTAAAAGAAATAAAACCATGATAGTTAAAGTAGTGATTTTTAGATTTTTCAGTCTGCATTTCTTACAGACTCTTGTAACATCTCTTCTTATTTGTGTTGCTTGTTTGAGTAGTGCAGAACAGATGTTGCAGAGCAGGCTGGGCCCTCAGAAATTTTCTTTGTAAAGAAGAAAATATCTTTTTAATATAGTGATATAGATCTATTTTTATATACTGTCCTATATTAAAAAAATGCAAGGAAATGAGGGAATAAAAACTCTTGGTCTAGCTGAAGTGTTTATTTCTCCCAGATGCTTTTATGTACCACTTCTGTCTCCTGCACACACCGCTCCTTGCAGTATTTGGTACATCAGTTTCAAAATGAGGTGGGGATTTGTGTAACCAAGTGTATTGGAAACGGCAGAACATGGTTGCACAAACTTGGAATTGAAGTAGGGAGCCTCCTTGGATCAGTAACAAGCATGAAACATCAAGGGGTGATGGCTAGAAAGTAATTACAGTTACCTGATGATGAAAACAACTTTGTACAGCATGTAGACTCCTTGAGAATTAACATAAACACAGGTGTGCAGGGAGATCCTACACAAAGTGATACAAGTGTAGGCAATGGTTAAGATTTTGCTGCTATTGAGCAGATGTTATGGTATTTCATGAAAACATGCAATTTTTATTAAACAGTGAGGGTGTACACAGCTAGCTAAATGTTTTATCGCATCTTTCATGTGCTGTTGCAGGCTGGCTCCTGATCATTGGTATTATCAAAGCATGTGAGAGGCTGTGGAACTTGTGTGAGGATGATACTGTGGTGTACTGGGCTAACCATCAGTACAGCTCCAGCAGTGCATGTTCATTTTGTTTAAGAATTACATGCCTGTTCATAAAACAAAAATACAAGGCATTTGAGAAAAACCTGCTAGGCAAGGTTCTTCTTTGTCAAATGACCTTCAAGCTGGGGCAGATGTACAGAGGCATTTAAATTCTGAACTCCCATCTGGGTAACAAAAACAGCCTTGAAATATGTGAAGAGTTAAAAATCACTTACTATTGAGAAACTTAGCCTCATTATACAGGTCATTGAGGAGAATTGTAGTGATGCCTTTAAAGAAATATATTTAGAATGGCTTGTAGGAAATTCCTTAATAGAGCTGATACTAGGAAATAAACATCTGGTGAAAGCTTGTAGAGAAGCTGCATGTTTGTTCTTCACATCCTTTCCATCTTGCCTTATTTTTGGTCAAATCTTTCCTTCTATTTCAAGTTGTTGCTGTTATACTGCTCCTACTATTTAGCATTAAAAACCCCAAACCTACACCCCAGGCTTTTACAGAATAGAATTCCTTCTATGGCTAAAAAACAGTACAGCTTTGATTTAAAAAATTGTCACAAATCTCAAATTTTGATGTTGTATGTAGTGAGATGAAAATAATAAACCAAGAGGAATTCTACAGTATCTAAAGTAGGGCAACAGAAAAAGCTACTAACATTTTGCATGCAGTTGAAGTGAGTAGATGAAATAAAGGGTTGAGGGGTGGCTGGGTGGGATTAGCACAAACCAAGTAAGGTTTTAAAAGCCTGCTTGACTTGTGAATATACATTCCTCAGGGAACAGCCATTAACCTACTGGCAGGGGATGTAGAAGTCACTGCTAGCTGGCCTCTGCCTAGTCTTTAAACCTGTCACCCCCAGGATTAAACTGATGATTGACCATCATGTGTGGTTCCTTAGCAGATACTCAGAGCAGTGAGAATGGCAGCCAACTGTGGGTTTACTGTGTAGTAAAAGCAGTTGGGGATGGAGCTGATGATGATAGCAGGGTAAGGGTTCTGAGGGAAAGCACACAATTAGGCCTGGCATTTTAGGTGGCCAAACTCTGTACAGGGTTGTGTTCTTAGAGACTGCATCAAAGCAACGCCTCTTTGTGGTCTTTGGGAGCACTGTTGTTAAGAATGACTTAGTGGAAGAAATAGGATCCTGATGGATTTCAGTTGTTCAGGTGTCCTGTGATGGGATGCCACAAATCTGTAACTGTGGATACATTCTCTCAGTTCCTCCTCTTATTTTAAATGTATGTAATAGATCACTCAGAAGTTTCCCCAAATGAATAATCTCCTTACTGCAAGTAGGTGAAGAAAGAGCATGCTTGAATGTTCAAAAACATTCCTTTCAAAAAGAAAATAAGTAAACCTTAGGAAAAGGCTTGTGGTGTAGCTGGGGCTTTTTGCAGCGTCTTTGGTAGGGTGAGGAGCTTTACAGTTTTAATTTCCCTTCACAACTCAGTGTTCCTCCTGGTCTTGTCTTTCCTGTTCACTCCCACGGCTGGGTAGGACACATGGATGATTGTGTCCCCACCCCCATGTTGTTAAAGGGAAGGGTGATGTGTGCCTCACGGTGCCGAGGGGGCTGTGTCTGTGCCTAGTGCTCGTGCTGTGAGGACATAACTGCTGCCTTATCCTTCTTGGGCTGCTGCTTCTCAGAAAAACATCTTGAGAACTGGGATTCAAAATTCATGAAACACACTTGTGAGAAAATAAATGGGACTATGTTGGGATTTCTCTTTTGTGAGGCAAATTTCTGTGCAAATAAGTAGTGACCACCTATGAGGAAAAAATGAGCAGGTGCTTATATTCTTGTAGTGTACAAGACAGACAATTGCTTTTCCAATTCTCATTTTACAATAAAGTAGGGTTTTTTAATCTTCAGATAAAGAGATGGATTAAATCAATCCAAAGCAGTGATGCAGGGTGCCCACAGAAACATGCAATAAAACTAAGGTGATCTTAATATTTAACATATTCATTGTTACTATACAAGAAGTTATTTTACCTTTTTTTTCTTTTTTTAAAGTGCTGTGGATAAGCTTGGAAACTAGAGAAATGTGGGAAGGCTCTTCATTGGAAGGTTAAAGTAGAAAAAAGCCTTAGCTTAAATTACCATGCAGCAGAGAAAGTAGTGAAGCTGGTTTGGCAACTCCAGTGTAATTGGATATTATTTTGCAGTTTAGTGTTAATCCTAAATGTGAGAATAAATCTTTCAAGGTTCTACAAGAGAATGTAGAAATTATGCAAATGAAATGCTGTGGTGACAATTAAAACAATCAGATTTCAGCCTTGGAGCCAACATGTAATCTGTCCAAGTGTCTCACAGAAACTGTCCCCTCTTTGTACTTTGTAGTCTGTCCTAACATAGGAGGCTTAAATGATCATCAGGATATATTTGACCATAATGTTTTTTACAGGAGATGGTAGAATTGTCCTTTATATACTTAATCTTTTAAATGAGTAATCTTAATCTTTCAATTTTTTGTACAGTTATAGTAGTTACAGTAAATTGTCATCCTTGGAGTGATCAAAGATGTGGAAAACAGGGATTTGGAAGTTACTTTGTCTATTTCAATATTTTTTTCTTTCAATATTTATGAAAAAAATGCTCACTGTATATATTAATTTCATCAACTTTTTCACTGAAATCAGGGAATTTATTTCCATGTGTCATTTGTTAGGTGAAGATCTGTATAAATGTGAATAATCTTACCATATTTTGCATCTGCCTAAATTACAGCAGATGAGTAGAATATTGTATTTACCTTATTCAGAATTCTGTTGTTCACATAATTGAATATGTTTCAAGATTTGCCTCTGAACTGTGAGCAGGTTTGAAGCATTTCAGCCCGAAAGGGAAATTCTGTTAAAACAGTGATTTCTGGGTTTAAAAGAACATGGCCACCACATCAGCCCCAGCTGCAGCTGTAACCTAAATACAGTAACAAGCTTGGTCTGAGACTCCTTCTGAAAGTGGCTGCAGTCCCTTCCCTGGAGGCTGCCCAGAGTCATTGAGAATATCTGCACCAGCAGCCAGGCACTCAGTGATGTGCCACAAAAGAAAAACATGAAATCAATTAATAAAGAGCTTACAGAGATAAGTTGCCATTATTTGGTAGATCTTCTAATATGGACATACTTCTGTAGATCTTTGACTGATCGTTTTGGGAGTGGTAGTGGTGGTTTGTTTCCTTTAAAATATATTATTTTTCTTTGCTTTTTCCTTAGACCTTAGTAATGTTATGAATTCCACTCCAGCTATAAAAGCTGTAAATGGAAAAGCTGAAAGCAGTGATAGTGGAGCAGAATCAGAAGAAGAAGGGCTTCGTGAAGAGGAAGAAAAAGAAGTGCAGATAAATGGAAAAGGTAACTCTGTGTGTCCCAGAGTTGTTCTCAGCCACCTAAGTGGCAGAAAATACCAAAGTATCATGAATGCTTTTTCAAGGGAATTAGATGGAAATATATGTGAATGTATATGTGAGAGGTGTCTGTGTTTCAGACTGTAATTCTAGACTGTAAGAATTAAAACTAGTACAAATTTGCAAGCTATACCATATGACTTTTGACTTGCCTAGCAAGTTCTTTCAAAAGGTTATCTAAATATCTATATCCTGCATTGTTTTGGGTTTTGTTGCCAATGTTTTTGTAAGAGCTATGAATGGTTACATGGCCTGTAAGAGTAGAATTGAAAATTACTATTTTTTCTTCAGAGACAATAAAACCAGAACTTTCAGTGAGATTAATTTAGAGGGTCTATAAAGAACTGGATGATGAAATAACAGCATCTAGTGAAAACCAAATGCAATGACTTATTTAGAATTCAATACAGATGTCCTCCAAGGACATTTTGATTATTATTTAGATTAGAAGAAACACCTACTTCAGATTTACTTACTTATGTTTTGAGTATTTGCTCTTTATGCTTTTTACAAGAACAGAACAATCCACACAAATGGGAATATAGGGGCATTTCCATGTTTTGTTCTGCAGATACATTACACATACAGTCCCTTAGTAAGGGAGCTGCTTGAAGAGATGTGGTTGGAGCTATTAGGTATAGAGCTTTCTCTTTGCTAAGTTTTCTTTTCTTTTACAGATTATAAGAATGTGAAACCCGAATCAGCAGCTGCTAAGGATTTGGAAGGCATTGTTAGCAATGGCTGTTACAAGGACAGCTTTATCCCAGATATGCAGAATGGCATCCAGACCAAATCTGCCTTGAATGGCTTGAGCCCAGAGGAAGAAACAAATAAAATGGAGCCAAGCCTAGAAATAGCTCAGAATGCTGCTCACCAAGGTATTGTCCTTCCAAGACTGTGCTTTCATTTGCACATGTTTTTCATGAAAAATATTCTTTATATGGAAGCTTAATCCTGGGATTCAGAGACTAGCAACGGTGTCTTTCAGTTGCAGAAATCTGAAGACAGAATACTAAAACAAATTAATTAATTCCAGTTAAAAATAAGGCTTTCTTTTAGTATGTCTTACAGAAAGAAAGGGGAATTCAGAGACAGAGAGGCCTAAACCCACAGAAATAGAAGTGTTTTCTTGTAATATCATTGTACTACCTATGCAAACACTGTTTGCCTTTGAAAGTGAATTTGTAGTAAAACAAAAGTCACCTATATCTGGTTTATCATTCTGAAAAGCTGAACATTTTATACATGCCAGTTTGTTGAAACTGGGATCTGAATATGTGTTTTTAATACTAAATGTAACTTTAGGCAAAACTGCTTTATACTGACCTTAGGAAGGAGAGGGCAATCAAAAAGGCAGAATTAAAATTTATAATACAGAAATGTCAATATAAAGTATAGTTTTCCCACTAGCAAAAGTTTTCTATAATTCTTAAATTAATGTAACATCTTTATTCAGAATCCATGTTTAGGATGACAGCTGTAGATAGAAGAATCATGAATTGATGCTCACCTACACATTTTAACTCATTGCTCTAGTCTTTGCCAGGGTGGCTCAACTGGCTAACATTTACAAACCATGTGTGCTATTCCTCTTCCCCTGTGCAGGTGCAGGTGAAGAGAATACTGAAGAGATCTCAGCAGCTCAGCACTTAACCAGTGATTCAGACAGTGAAGTTTATTGTGACTCTATGGAGCAGCTTGGACTAGAAGAGGTAGGGGTTTAGTATTCCTGGGTATATTTTGAAGCTGGTATGCTGCTTATTTTTTAATAAGCAGCATACCAGGTTCCTCTCAGTCAAGTGAACATGGACATGCACAGGTGAATGATGTGGCTCATGCAAACCGTCCTTCTGTTTGAACTAGAGGGGTTTGTTCCTTCATTTTGCAACTTGGTTAGTGCTAATCTAAAAGCCTTGAAGCCCTCAGAGAATTTATGTGAGGAGAAGGCTTCAAAAACAACAGTACAAAGAAACAATTGTCAAAAAAGGAAAATCAATATAAAGAAACTAAGGTCTGTGTCCACAAATTAATGTAGGGTCTCATAATATGTAGGGACCAGAATTCAGCTATTGGGAAGTATCTTTGTAACAATTCACTTTTGCTTGCCTTTTTTCTGGCCTGATGACTTCTGCATTTGTTTCTTAGAATAAATAAATAAGTGTTAGCAGGTATCCTGTGGGCCAGTGCCTGCAAGTGGCCTTGGTCTAAAGAAGTGGCGGATTACAAGGATTTCTGTGTTCTTTTGTATTCTCTTCAGTCATAATGTACACCTCTGACTTCCCTAAAAAATGTGAGCACCACCTGTGCTGCCACAGCTTTGACTGGATTTGTGCTCCTGCTGATTACTACTCATAACTGTAATCTTTGTTGGCTTTCTGGCCTGGACCTTCTTCAGAGGCCCAGGTTAAGTGTGGGCTTTGTAGGCTGAACTCAGAAACCTCATTTCCTGATTCTGGAGAGAAATGTGTGAATGGTGCCTCGGATCAGAAAGGCCAGAAGCACTCAAATATTGCATCATTCTCTTGTCTGGCTCCTTCCTGAGTATGTAGGGAGTTCATTTTAACAAATCAAAATTCTGCCCAGTAATAAAGGATGTTGGGAAATGTAATTTGATAGAAGTGCTGCAAGCTGTCTTATCTAGCTGATTTCCCAACCTTGTGTATTGTTCAAGCTTGTTTGAACTCTTTAATTGAAGCGGGTGGATTATTTGTCTGAGTTTCCCAACCTGAATGAGGAAAGTTCCAGTTTTGCACAAAGTAACTAATGTTCAGGTATATGTAAAGAAATACACAGGTAGAACTACAGGTCAATCAGTTCAAACTAGAAGAGGTTCACTTAATAAATAAATACAGCCTAAATAAATACAGCAGTTTCTTGGAAAAGATGTAGCCAGCCCTCTGCCCTTCAGTTCTGTTGATCCAGAACTGCTATTTTACAAATTTGGGCAGCAGTTTCCATTTCACTGCCCCTCCTTTTGGTTATTTTGACTTCTCCATGAAGTTCTTTTTTGAGCTGAGGTCCCAAAGCTGCTTCAACATATCCTTGTGCAAGGGCCTGACCTTGCTCTGTGCCAAGGGCTGCTTGAATCACCCACCAAGACAGCCCCAGTGCAGAACCTGAACAGCACCTGTGTCATCCTGTCTTACTGTCTTCCTGCAGTAGCACCAGTTTTGATTGAGAAGTCGATAGAATACTCTGCCTTTCCTTTGTTTGCTGTGAGGTGCAGCTGCAGCCAAGCTGTTTGGAGCAGGCTGATGAAAGCTGTGTGCTCTCTTTGCTGTGAGTGCAAACACTGCCTGCCCAGGGCTGCTGACAGCATGGGCCTTCTGACTGTGCCTCCCAAATTCAAGGGAAGAGGCCATTTCACTGTCTAGGAAGCAAAGCCACTTTTACAGGGGAAAATTGAATGGTTTTAGACATTAATGTTGTATTTTAGTAATTACTGAGTATTAGTGTATGTTGGAAATATCTAAAGAAATTCCTGTGGTATCACTGTTGTGAGATTTCCCTGAAACACCTTGTCAATCTGGAAATAACATTTAGACAATAGTAAGTATATTCTACAGGAAAACAACTGCTTCCCTTAAAAGAAGTCTTAATTCTGGGCAAAGTGTTTTCTTAATGTGAAAGTAAAGATGATATTTTTTCCTTTTTAATGTTTAACCGTCATATTTTACAGAATTTAATTACTTGCTAATGTTAATTTGTAGCCCTTGGAGATCATCACATCAGCTAAAGGATCTTTAAAGCATTCATCCCATTTCTTGGATGTAGATCACAGTCCTCTGTTAGAAAATACGGATTTTTCAAGGCACACTTGCACGACTTATGGGAATCTTCAACCTGGAAATACTGGAGAGGGAGTAGCTGAAGAACAAGGTGAAGTCAAATGTGGAGGAGAAGATGGCAAAGCCAGTAATGGGGGTCCTCACAAGGAGAAAAAAGGTGGAGAAAAAGCAGATTTCTACAGTGTCAGAAGAGGGAGAGGTACTGTGACCCTGCATTTGTGTACTGCACTCTCCTCACTGCCATAAATTACTGGTGTCTGAGAAGCACCTGTCAGCACTGTCCAGTGGGACAGTCATGTGTACAGTGCTTCTGCTCTTCACAATAAAAATAGATTACAAAATACCTATTTTGTTATATAAATATATACACCCCCTATATAATAGTAGGTAACTTATACTCCAGCTGCTGCTTCTGGCAGTTGGGTTTTTGGAAATGTAATCCTCAAAACCAGTCTGTGCCTGAGAGGAATTTCTTTAGAAGTTACATACTTACTGTTAAAATACATATGCATTTATATCTCTGTGATGGTTTGTTTGAAACCATGGAATGCCATGGAAAGGTATCAGTGACATATTGTTTTGTATGTAATTGGAATGTTAGCCACACCTTTGAGTGATTCTGATACTAGCCATTATGATTCTTAGAACTTAATTGTTCTTAATCACATAATAGCACAGATGTTCAGTTTATGTTGGACCTCTGCACTTTTTAATTCCAGAACACTTCTAATAGTGTCACCTACAAGCAGCACCATATTCCAGTGGTAAGGTCTGTAAAGTCAAGGATAAAATCAGCTTTTCTTGTAAAACCAACAAAAGGCAGAAAGTATTTTATTGATATATAGCATGCCTTTTTGTATAGCACCTATAAGTAATCAGATGGAAAAATTAAAAAGAAAATCCAAATAAAACATTTATGTTGAAAACTATTATAAAAAACATACTATAGTTAACTATTTCCTCTTGTCTCTTGTTGTTTTATTGAAGTTTGCTACTTACAGGCAGAAACATGACAGTGTTATGTTAGGTAGTGTTAGTTATGTTAGTTAGTGGTAGTTGTATCTAGTTTAAGGCAGTATTGTCAGTTTCAAATAATTATATTTTCTCCTCACTGTATTCCAGTGATCTTTGTTTTCCAGCTGGAGACTTTGCCAAACTTAAAACACATACTAAGACAGATCTTACTTTTTACTAGGGCAGAATTTCCTGCTGAACTTGACTGGTTGTGTGTTAATAGCTTTTTGTAAATGTTCTTGCAGTTCTAGAAATTTGGTTGATACTGTCACACTGAGGCTGTAGGGAAACATCTCAGATGGCATTTCAGTGACCTTGCAGTGCTGCTGAACTGTCTGAATATAGCCTTTGATGAGGAGTGCCACACTTCTGGGTGAAAACTGAGGGAGAAAACTCAACTTATGTTAAACATTCTCAGTAGAGCTGTAGCCCATTCCGTGTTTGGTGTTTCTGTTTTTCCTCCCTCCCAGCAGGGCACAGGCTCCAGCCTTTGGGAGACGGTTCCCAGGGCGGGCAGATGGGCGGCGGAGGGGACGGCGAGCGCTGGGGCTCCGACAGAGGCCCCCAGGGCAGCCTCAATGAGCAGATTGCAGTGGTGCTGATGCGGCTGCAGGAGGACATGCAGAATGTCCTGCAGAGGCTGCATATGCTGGAGGCTGTTGCAGCATCACAGGTACTGTTCTTTGGAGTTATTTGATCACCTTTTATTAAATGTCTTTGGATATTTTTGTGCTTTTTCATTAAAATTTTTGGCTATATTTTCTTAAACTGTAAAGACTTTTCAGTCACATTTTGTAGTTGAGTCCAGCTTAAAACTTCCTGTTGGTACTTCCTCTTAGCAGTACAATTTGTAACTCTGGTACGTGTAAGCAAAACCATGCGTTTTTTACCTAGAAATTAACCATATGTTACTTCACTGATTTCTGATCAGATTGATCTTAGCCATAGTTATTGATACACATTACACAGGCTCTATATGGACACTCCACAGTTAATATTCTTAGTGCATGATCCCACAGAATTCAAAGCATTTTCAAAGAAAGCAAGAAATTATCCTAATCTTTCAGATGGTAAATGTTCACAGGCAGAATTCAGATTCCATTTTTCAGGATGCAAAAGACCTGATTGTTCATAGCTTTCTTTCCTCGTGAAGTAATCCAGCTGTATTGGAATTGTACATCATGTCCTCACCCAGTGAATAGAACTCTTAAGCAAGTGTAGATATTATTGATACAGTGTTTCTTTTTTCTTTCTGTTTCAATAGAGTATGTTGTGAATATAGTTGAACCAGCAACCTGAGAATGTTTGGTTTTGTTTGACTTGCTGATATATTTTGATCTGCATGAGAATAAGCAAGCTGTACAAGCAATATCCTATGGGATGCACACACTCCAAATCTAAGACAGCCACAGAAAAGGATTTATTAAAACTATAATTTTGCTGCATCACAGATATTCAAGAATCTAATGTTTGGTTAAATACAGATTGGTTTTCTATCTCTGCCTGAGCAATATAAGTAGTAAAGGATTCTTCCCCAGTAGTTCATGCTGTGCTTGCTGTCCTTACCAAACGAGAAACAGAGGCTTCTGTTTCATGTTTACATAAATTAAGAAAGCCCTAGAAAGCCAGCAGCTTTGCTTTTGTGGAAGCACCACAATAGTGTGTGGGAATAGTCTTGAGACGATTCTGATACTTCCATTTTCAGGATTGCCTGGAAGACGTGGAACAGAGTATTCTCTTTCCTTTGTGGTGTTAGACATGCCTGTAGCTGTAGCCCAGGCAAACTAAAGCAGTGGTTTTGACCTCAGTAGAGACTGGTGTTGAGACATGCAGGCAAATTAAACTGCTGTGGTTTCTGCTCTGGGCTGGAACTGGAACTAGACCAGAGCTGAGAAAGTTGCAATGACAAGTGGAGCAGGGGAGCCTTCAAAAACTGTAAAGAGGTCCAATAAGTGACACTGCTTCATTTTCTAAGACACAGAGAAGTGATAAAATTACTATAAAGAGTAGTGGAAACATGAGAGGCGAGTTAGCAGCTATGTGGGATGGCATGGGGGTGGTTCTGTGCATTAAACTGTGATATATACAGATTGCAAAGCCATCATAAGATGAAAAAACTCATGTTCATGTTTTGTGAAGAAGAAAAATTTTAATTGCAGTTTCATTTTATACTTTAAAGTCTTTGTTTTTATTTAAAGGCAAAATCTGCAACAATACAGTCAAATTACCAGCCTGCCTCCTCTGTCAAGGTAAAATACTGTTTTTATGATGTGTAAAAAGTGTGAACTGTGAAAAAAGATTAATTTGAATATTTTATCTCTAGCTCTTGGTATGTGCTTTTTGTGTTGTCTCTTCCTTGACTAGGACATAAAAAATAATCAGTCTGAGGAAATTACTTTATAGATTAATCTTTTCTTATGGTCTTACTATTATTTTCTTTTGAAGTGATGAAAAGTATACGGGTGGTATTCAATATTTGCACATATATTGCTCACTGGAATTTTTTTCTGTTTTCCTTAGAAACCATCATGGTGGCCCTTTGAAATTTCTCCTGGTGTTCTAGCTTTTGCTATTGTTTGGCCATTTATTGCCCAGTGGTTGGTCCATGTGTATCACCAAAGAAAGAGAAGGTAAATATGTGCATTCAATTGAACACATACGCTGTGTGTCACCTGTTTAAACCAATAAGTAATATTATCATGTTATTTAGACAGGGCAGAAAATGCCTTGCCTTGAATGTTTGTCAGTATGAGAAAGTATTGGTTAATTTGACTTGATATGTAGTATGCTTTCTATGTGGCATTTTATGTTAAATCTGTGAAATGTGATGCAGGATAAATAGTTTTGAGCATACACAAGTGGGTGAGGCTGGATAGCTTGGAAGCATCTCCATAACATTCTTTGATCCTCCCACTCCTCATATTTTCTTGAGCCATTTTCACTGCTTTTAGACTTCCTAGTCCTGTTCTGCCATGAGAATTTTTTCTCCTATCACATCCTTTATAGATGTGCCTATCATATCCTTTACAGAGTGCCATCTGTCACCTATAGTTAACATTTACTAGCACCTTACTATGATATTTTTGTAACATCTACCTTGACTTCCTTCAGCTGAAGGGAAGTTGAACTCTGATTTTGCCTTTTCTCAACTCTCTAAGCATCAGATCAAGTGAGTGTTCTCTAGTTACTGTGTGCTTACTTCAGCGTCACACCTGGTTCTGTTAGCTTAGTATGCACTTGGCTTTTACATCTTTTTCCTCTGTCAGACTGCAGAGAGTTTGCACGTGTGTGGATCTTAGGAGAATTAGCTGAATTCGCTCTAGCTTTTTAATGTTTGCTAGTTTTCATGGTACAGTTTTCTCTCCTGTGGTAAATCACAGAAGCACAGAGTGGCTGAGGTTGAAGGAAGGCTCTGCAGGTCATTGGTCCAACATCCTTGCTCAGCCAGGGACACTTCAAAGCTGGCTGCCCAGGACTGTGTACAGGCAGCTTCTGATTGTCTCCAAGGAGGGAAACTCCACCACCTCCCTGGGCAGCCTGTGCCAGTGTTTCCTCAGAAATGCTCCAGGCCTTGGATCATCTTTGTGGCCCTATGTCGGACTCTCCCCAGTTTATCCACGTCTCTCATGTAGCCAGAAGTGGACAGAGCACTCCTGGTGTGGCCTCTCCAGTGCTGAACAGAGAGGAAGGATCACCTCACTGACCCCAAAGGGATAATGCAGGAAGGGATAATGTTGCAAGGGAAGCCTCTAACACCACTGGCCTTTGTTGCAAGGGCACGTTGCTGGCTCATGTTAAACGTGGTGTCCACCAGGATGCCCACATCCTTTTCTGCCAAGCTGCCTCCCAGCTGGCACACACTGATGCCTGGAGTAGTTTCTCCAAACAGTGCTGGACTAAGCAATTCCCCCTGTTGTCTTTCATAAGGTTCCTGTCAGCCCATTTTTCCAGCCAGCTGTAGTCCCTCTGGATGGCAGCACCACCCTCTGGCATATCAGCCACTCCCAGTTTTGTGTAATTTTCAGCTCTGCTGAGGGTGCACTCTGCACTCCGCCTGTCACCCAGGCCATTGCTAAAGGTGTTAAACAGGACTGGTCCCAGTATTGACCCCTGGCATTCACCACTAATTACTGGCCTCCAAGTACACTCCTGATCGTTGTTCTTTGGGCCCCGCCCATGGCTTTGTAAACAGCACAGCACCACAAAGGCTGCAAATCTGCCGGGGAGCTCCCCTGGCTTGGAGCTGTCAGCAGCAGCATCGGGGTTGCTGCACTGTCTGATGAAACCAGAGATTGCAGTACTGGGGCTTTCAGGCAGTTATGCACATTTTGCTCATTCTTTGCACCAGCAAATGGAAATTTCCCCTTGTCAGCAAGGACAAAGTTGGGGTGTTTTAAATTAAAACTATTTATTTTAAGTATTTTACTTGAAGCTTCTATGAACTTCAGTGTTCTGCTATGTGCTCTTGCATGGTTGTTTTCTCCCTCTCTCTGAACAGTGTGCTGTTCTTGAAAATCTTTTTTGATATCTATTCTGACCTCTGTAGCACCCTCAATCCAGCCACAGATTCAGACAGAAATTAGTTTCTAGAAAAGCACCCTTTCCAGCAATTTTTCTAGTATATTGTCCTAGTAATTCAGTGCTTTGATGAATAAACACATGGTACATTGTTTTTAGTTTGGATTTGACCAGCTTCAGTTTACATCCATTGGATTTTCCTGTATCTTTATGCAATTGACAAAGAGCCTGTAATGTGTTTTCCATGGTTATGTTTTGGTATCACCAGGTCATCTCATAATCTCTTGCTTAAACAAAACAAATGGAGCAACTGGAATCTCATTTTAAAATTGTTTTCCAGTCTTAGAATGATTCTTGTGGTTCATTGCCAAATGCTTCAGTTTTTCAACTCATTCTTTTTGAGTTTTGGACAGCAGGATTTGTACCAGTGGTAATACCAGTGTTGGTGTGAAACACAGAGATAGCATAGCCCCATGTTTTGTTTACTCCTTCATGTATTGTTTTGAGATGAACTTCAATAACAGAAACAACTCAAGAATTGTGTTCTTGAGCTTTTCTGTCTGTTTCTGAAGTCTACTCATAGGCAGAATTTAAGGACTATGTGCTTCTGCAGCACATTTCTATCTGGAGTTCTATCTCCTTTAACAATGTGTAGGAAGCTGATCAAGTACACTCAGTGAGAAAACAGAATTACAAAATGAATCCTTTTCTCCTGTCCCGTGGCCAGTTTCAGCTTGTGCTCTTGGGCAAGGTGTGTGAGCTCTTAGGCAATAGCTGTTCTCAGTGCCTGCATTGGCCCTGTCTGTGTACTTTTAGTTTTAAATTACATGAAGTGTCCCTGCAGCAGAAACCACAAGTCTCTGCTACCATGCAAAGTTCTCTTGTGCTGCAGCTGTGGAGCCTTGACTTCTAAATTCTTCTGCACAGTGCAGCAAATTCCCTGTCCCTGGTGGAGGGACAGCCTTCTGTAAGCAAGAGCTTTGTGTTCAGCTCTTGTCCCATCCCAGCACCTCTTAACCTGTCCCCTGTTCCTTTATGGGCAACTTAATGCTGAAAATCTGGGTAATTGTACTGGAGCCTTCACCAAGAAGGCTTGAAAACCTCAATCCTAAGGTTTCTATCCTAAGATAGAAATGTATTTTCATAATAGGAAAAGTTGTCTAGGTTCAATTCATGATTTTAGAACCCTCTAATTTTAAGTTTTACGGAGTCATGGGGAAAACAGCTCTTAAGTGTTGCACTGCTGAGCCAGCACACCACTGACCCAGGGTCAGGGATTTTTCTGTGGAATTCCATCTGCAGTTCCAAATTCTTAGTGAATTTTCTACTCCTTGGTGTAAGAGGGAAGATTTTCAGACAGAAATCAGTTTTTAGAAAAGCTGTGGTGTCAAGACAGGGTGTCTTGAAGGCCTGTTGTGTTTTATTGGAATGGAAACCTTTCACATGTAACCTTAATTGATTTGTTTGTTTAGACAAATGAAAAATCATCTCATATATGAAGGTACATTAAACTAATTTATTTGTTTCCTCTTCTAGAAAACTGAACTGAGAATTTATGACTATGTTTAAGGACTTCTAGGAGAAGATGGCTTGAAAAGCAAAGGAAGTCTGAATTCTCATAGAATCTCAGAATTTGGGATCATCTTCCTTATGTTACAGTAATATTTTCTACTACCTTTGAGCTAAATGTTTAAGGACTAATATTATTGAAACTTGAATGATTCACAGCTCCTAGGTAACAAATAAATTGAATTATTCCATCCTCAACACCATATGAACAGTAATTATTTTGGAATGTGCTTGTGGATGGGCCTTCAGTAATTACTGGCCTGCTGATGTCAGTTGATGAAGAGAATAACATCTCTGTAAAAGAATAAATGAAAAATATGTAAAACTGTCACTTTAACATTGAAATAATTTTACAATCTCAAGATCCCTGCCTGTTTTTCCACAGCATTAGGTATTACCAGGTGAAAGCTCTAAAAGAGTATAAATTCAATACATTGTAAGCTGTTGGAAAAATACAATATAGCTCTGAGGAATTCAACTTGTTATTTTTGCTGCTAAACTGGTGTGGAGCAATTTCCATATAAATTGGTCAGAAATGAAGTTGAATCCTTCACTTATTCTGTAAAATTGTAAAGAAGATTTTGGAATTTGTATATATCCTGAAAGTTAGAGCCATTAATAACAGGGGGACTGTCAAATACGAGTTTGGAAACAGCATGTGGTACAAGGGATCCATGTAAAGAGGCTGCACCTTATCTTTTTAACTTTCCTGACTCTATTGTTGTTGACAACAGCTTATTTTAACTGAAATGCATAGTTTAGGCACAAGGTGCTTTAAAATGAGATGAAAACTAGCTCAGTAAGTCTAGCTTTAAGCTTTTAAAAAGCTCAGTGCACTGTAAGTTTTCTGTTGGCAGAAATTAAATTAAATTAAGATTTAGTTAAATTAAAGTAAGATTTAATGTATTGTGGATTTTCCCCAAGTTACATCATGAAACATATCACTTCTGGTATGTCTTTCTTATTATCCTTCTACTTCCTCTCAGAAAAAAAACCTTTTCAGCTGATTTTGGAGCTGATCTTTTTCTTTTCCCCACAGAATATTTATTAACCCATATATAGATAGAGGTACAACCTTGTGAAGTCTGCTTGACAAAAAGCATGCTTTACACTTAATTTTAAAATAAATTAATATATAAGTTGTATAAATCTCTGGAAAATGTAAATGCACTAAAAGTAGATTTGACAGAAAACTTACAGTTTGCTATGAAGAATTATATCATAACATAATCCATGGTTAAGCTCTAAATCTTCAAATTTCACCATTACTGATGTGCTTTCATTTTCCACCAGGACTACATCCTACAACTAATTTTTAAGGAAAGTTTTTTTTGGTCCTTCCTGAAAATATTTTATAGTTTGGAAAACATTTTTCATACAAGCTATACTGTATAAAAATGTAATCACAGAATTTAATGTTGGTTTTACCAGAGAAATTTTAATCTTGTTTTTTAGTTATGTGAAAAATTTTTTTAGTTACTTTTCCCCTTTTCTGATTTTCTTATTGTAAAGCTGAATTAAAAAAATAAAATAGCTGTAAACTCTTTGAAGACTGCTGTAATAAGCAGATGGTTTCATGTGCCAGAGATGAGTTTTGGCATGAGATGTACTGAAAACTCAGGTTTGAACAAAGCTTATCCTGGAAGTTCTGCTGGGACCTGAAGCCATTGTGCCTGAGCTTAAAATTTCTAAAGTGACTGATTTCTTATCACAAAGGATAGAAATGATCCAGGAAGGACACTCGAGCTGGCAGGTCACAGGAAAGCCCAGGCTCCTGAAGCAGCATGTCTTCTGGCAGGACAAACCACCCTGGAGTGCCTCCCACAGCTCCTGGCACCTGTAGGGCTCGAGCTCTTAGACATGGGACAGACATTCCCAAAGGTACTTAATTGTTAACCTCTCCTGAAATAAATGTAGGCTTGTACTATCCTTGTTATTTATTCATATTTCAATAAATCAGTCCCTTAATATTTTGTATTTTATCTTGGACTTAATATTTCCTGAATGCTGTACACCAGATGCTGTGTATACAAGAGCTTGCTGGCTGTATCATGAAGAATCAGTCACAACCTGGAAGTTGTAATACAAAACAGCATCACTTGAGTAACAATTCACTTGTAACTCACAACTGGGCCTATCTCAAACTCACCATTATTTGAACAGGTTGCTAGCCAGCAGGTATTTCAGCTTAAAGGTAAGGAAAACTGGTTGTTTTGGTTTTTTATCATTTGCCCAGGTGCAAAGAGACACAGCTTCGATGTGGAGGCAGAGCATCAGCACAAGGCTGGAGCTCAGAGCTGGGATACACAGCTTCAGCCTGTGCTCTCTGCAGGAGGGCTGGGAGCCTGAACAGTTCTGCACAGCACTGGAAGGGCCAGACCCAGCCCCAGACTGCTCTTGTGAAGCAAACATCAGTCTGGTTCCCTGCAGCAAATCAGGCTGCACCTGAAGCTTGCTCTGTATCAAAGCAGATTAGACACTCCATCCCCTCAGAGCTGCTCAGCTGAGAGCTCAGAAGCAGGGCTGGGTCTGAGTGTGTGCCTGGTGCAGCTGTTCCATCCTCAGGGCTCTGCTGCTTTTGTTCTGGGGCTGGGGCAGCACAGCAGGTGCTGAGGAGGTGGAGTCACCATCCTTTCTTGACTCATGTGAGTTATGCAGAGGAGACTCACACCCTGCAGGCGTTACCACTCAGGACTTTGCCATTTCAGTAGCTGCTACTAAAGCCTCCAGGCAGGGTCTAGCAAGTTATGAGCTGACTGAAGGGCATACAGACCTGCACTGAAAGTAATAAGTATTTCCCTACCTAAAATCACTGCCTTTGCTGAGGTACTGGGAAGCCCTCAGGGTTTCTTTGTGTAAAAATCCATCTGCCACACTCCCAGCAGGGGCAAAGTAACACAGCAAAAGAAAAACAAGATACAGAAGCAGCAGCAGCACAACTGCTCTATTTTATTTTATATATTTATACAAAAGTAAAGTGAATTTTTGAAGCATGAATTTTGAAGTAAGTGCAAAGTGAACTTTTGGAGAATGAAGTAGAGAAGAAAATCATGCATTTTATTGCCAGAGTAAGCATGTGGTAAACCCAATCCTGCTGAAACTGGAATATCTGAGCTCACCACAGGGCAGCACTTCAGCACCTTGGTCCCCAGACACTGCCCCACGTGTAGGTGTGCCCAACAGCACATAAGGGCTGGGAATAACCATCCAAAACTGCTGCTTCTGTGTAACCAACTACAACGCTGAGCTCTCCAGTAGTTTTCAGATGTAATGGCTGATAAACTGTCTCCCAAGGTAACCTGGAAGCTGCAGAGTTGATGTGTAGATTATGCACATGAAGTTTAGGCCTTCAGGGAGCACCATGTAACAGCTGCAGGACTTGCCCAGTGGTACTCTACAGCTTCAAAGGATCAGAAAGCTTTGCCAGCCTACCCTGTTATTTGGAGATCTTTGCTAATAAGAAACAGGAGATCTCTTCCAGCTACTACATTGTATCTTTTAAACTTTTACCTGTGGTATTTCAAGTCGAGCAACAAGTGGGACAAAACCACTGGGACTGAGTTGATAAGGAATTCCACGTTGAACAATAAAGCTAGGGTTCACCTTTTTACAAAAGATGAAAGCCCCACCAACCAGAACAGCCCAAAACATCACAAATCTCAGCAATCAATGTCTGACATTCAACTCCATGTTTGCTATAACCTGGATAAATGCAAGATAATTAAGAGAACAGGATATTGCAATATTTTCAGGGCTAATTGTGTGAAATTTAAATTTTGGACAGCAGTGTAGTGATAACTTTATATTAAAAATTCAGATTTGTCAATTGGCCAATTTACTGCTCTACAGATTCTATGTTTTTGTATTAGTCACCTGGTTTTGTATTAATTCTATGCTTTTGCATTAATTTTGCATCTGGTAGGAATACCACAATTTTCTTTTAGGATAAGATTTTTATAGAAGCTTACTTGACCCTTGTAGATGATTAAGAACTATTTCAAAGGGTTAAAGAAGACTATTACCAGTGCAACAAGTTTCTTCCACCTTGATGGGAATGTTACACCACCAATGGGAACAGGTGTAACCATTTGTAAAGCACTGAAGACACAGAGCTGTTGTGGTGTTCAGTTTCTTATTTCTTTGACATGTAATCATAGTTAATTCTTTTAAGATTTGCTCTCTTAAATTAGATTACTAGAAATGGAAGAATAAACTGCATAAAGTACCAATGATTAAGGTACCCTCCCACCCCAGTTTATATATTCTAACAGTACACAGGAAAACCACTGAAGAACTTCTCACCACTTTCAGAGAATGTTGTCTATGAACACTGCTTCAGTAGTGCATTCATTTGTTTGCACCTTTTCCATCATGTAACAATTGCAGTGTGACTGAACAATTTAGAAGTTCTCTAAAACTGCAGTCCTTAGCAAAGGGAGGACCAAATGCAAAACATACATTCACTGTATGTTTTGCAACTTGCCAAGACTGTTTCACAAAACTGAATTTTCACAACAAGAACTGGGATTGGTCATACTGAGCTATTAAAAATCAGCTCTCCTTAGGTCTTTCTAGGAAACTTCCTTTTTCCTCACCATTCCCATTCCTTTCCCAGAAACCTGAGGGGGCAGCAGAAAGCCTGGCAGACTCTGCTCAGAACTCCATCAATAAATCTTGTCTTGCAGGAAGCAGGGTAATGAAGGCACAACTCAATCCTGCTACAAAAAGAGTCAGTTCATGAAACTAAAAGGCACTTGGCAAAAATCACTGGCAAAATGCTTGGCTTCTGGCACATGGCCCTTGGCTGGTAACACCATCTAGCACAAATGATCTTTACCATGTTCATTTCATTAAACTGAAAAATTAAAATCTTCTTTAAGTTAGAGATACATATGCAAGAAAAATACTGAAGACGATTTAAACAGAATTATCTACAAATAAACTTCTAAAACCTAGCAGACACAAGAGTTGTATTGCATTTAAAGATAAATTTAAATATACTTCCCCCTAATTTAGGTTTATATAGAACATACACTTCTATTTTATATTCTAGTCAAAATCCAAGCTCTGGCTGTGAGTTTACAAAACAGTCTGTTAGCCTACAATATATTATAGTCTTTAATACCTGGCAGCTTCAGCATGAATACTGCTTGCTAGAAAACAAAAAATCATCTGTCACTTGTCATCTGACACAAGGGAGCACACACACACACACACTGGGCATTTCTATATAAAACCAGTAACTGCTAAATGTGTGTTCAGTCCAGCTTCCTACAGCCCAAGGGGTTACAACACCACAACTTAAGCAAAGCATTTGTTTAAGACTTGCCCCAAGTATCCTCTCCCTGCGCCGTTTCTCTAGGACAGGATAGTCTCCTGCCAGTCTCACGTGCCACTTCTAGCCAAATTAACTTGGAATTAACTTGGAATTAACTGTTGTACCTTCCCAGCCCTTCTTGGGAATAGGACAAACAGAAGACAAGACATTGCAATGCTGCATTGAGATTTCAGTTTTCCACCTTGAATAGAAATGACCAGTTTTGCACAGTGGATATTCACACTGCTCAGACAGGACTGCTCCCAAACCAGCTTGCCACCACACTGAACCACCAATAGCTAAGTTATTAATTAGATACAATTACAATTCCTTTATATCCTTTCCCTATTATGTTTAGCTGGGAAATAACACCACACTTCCTAACTGGAATAATTAATTACTATTAAAAAGCCCCATTATTGCCAAGAGTTACTAGGTCCAAGAAGCACAATGCTCTGGCCTCTCAGTAAGGTGCAGGAGATAACAAGTAGCACAAAGGCACTTGATACCAGTTTCATACAGTAGTTTCTCTTTAGAATAAAAATAGGCTGGTAACTTGAAACACACTAAATTCAGCAAGGAAACTTAGTCAATACCAAACTAGGGTTACAAGACAACCTGTAAGTGTGCAAAACCATGGAGAATGTCCACTTATCTTGATGCTATAAGCTAAATCCAGACACAGTCAGGTGCTGAGCATTGTTTCTAGCATCAAAGTAAGAGGTGTCAGTCTCATCATCGGGCTGAGGTATAAATGGCATCGTCTGGTTCTGGAGATTATCCCAGTCCACCCCGTGAAAGAGGGGGTGATGCTTCAGTTCTGAAACAGAAGTTCACATCAGCATTAGAAACTTCCTTATGTCCAAGCCCCACAGTCACTGTGTTCCCTTATCTATAACTGTCAGGAGATTTGCTCTATATTCCTTTTCTACAAGTTCATGAAAGTGCAAATTGCAGTTGGGCTTTGATTACCCCAACTTCAGTAGGACCAAACTGTTGGCAGGACAAGTTGCTGCCACCCCCAGCCAGGGAACCTGTTCCATCCAGTTCCACTGAGCCAAAAGCAGCTTGAAAGCTGCTCTTACCCAGAAAGATTGAATTTAGAGGAGCACAGCACTACAACAACATAACTGGGATTTCCCAGTACTAAGGGCTTCATGCTGTAGTGATAAAAGGGAGAGCACAAATTTGGGAGAGGGGAGAGAAGATGACACTGATGGAAACTTAAGTGCAACAAGAAAAACTTAATGGTTGTCCTGAAAACTACTCATCCAACTTCACTTCAGTGGACTATAAATTGGACAAAGAGGCCAGATACAGTTGTAAATCTTGACAAAGAATGAATTTTAAAGAAGCTCAGATAGGAAGAAACCATTATGTCATCTATTTTAAAATTCTGCCCTTGACAGGCAATTTGGATTTCACTCTAAAATCCAGAAACAAAGACAATAACTTGTGTTTAACTAAAACACCTTCAAATTGCTTTTTGGGATCTATCAAAGCCACAGAATTGTCTGCTGACATAATAATCTTCATTCATAATCTTGTACCTTCTCTATTTTAATTTGGCTTGATTTCAGCTTCTAGCATTTAGTCTCTTTATGTATAAGCCTTTCCACAGTAATTTCCTTCTCAAGTGATTTCCTGAACAGTTCTCATAAGATTTCTTTCTCTATTTCCAAAATATCTCACTCTAAATTTCTTCCCATTATCAACTTTTTTATAAAAAAAAACATAGTCACTGTTAACAATAGGAAATGTTTAAGCCCTTCTACAAAGGAAAAAAAAAAGTAGACTTTGTATAGTGTGTATATATATATATATATATATATATATATAGTCCAACTTTATATTCTCCTATGTATTCAGTAAAGACAGGCTGATTCCTAAGAAAAAACTGCTCTCTCTGAATTAACTGTTTGTTGTAGGAGGCTTCTCTCCCAAAAGATCATCTTTTAATCAAGGTTCCCAACGTCATTTAGGTTAAAAATTCCAAATACTCATTAGATAAGAGAGAACTTTGGTACATCAGATGCCTAACACTAAAAATGCATAGCAGAACAGCAGTAAAGGAAAACAGAAGTTCAATTAATAAAATTAAAAAGCAACAAAGCAATTCAGCCCCAGAATTACCTTGTTCAGAAAGGAAAAACCCCACAAGAAATACAGAAAATACCACAACTTGTTAAGTGCTGTGGCACTATACATGGAACCTAGGGAGGCACTGAAGTTTATCAGCCTAAGTTTCAGGAGGAGGAAATCACCACTTAAAAATCTGCAATAAGTTACAAAGAACAATTTTAATACCAACCCTTCAGTCCAGCTCTCTTAGTAGTGTCAATTGTTAGAAGGAGATCTATTGCATTCTGGGCATTATCAGACAGCTTTTCTTCACCCTCAGGCCAGGGAATGTCTACAGACAAAAAGAGAGTTGAGTTGGTAACTCAAACTATTAAACAAATATTGGAAATACATACTTGCCCTATTACTGAAGCAGATTACCTCTTTTCAATATATTTTGGAAGACCTGTGTTGGTGTTTCATCGTTAAAAGGTGGAATTCCAGTTAGAAACTCAAACAGACAAACTCCAAGGGCCCACCAGTCTACAGCAGAACCTGGTAAAATAAACCCACATAATTACACTTACAAAAATGATACTTGCAAAGACTTTGAGATTAGCAAAAGCTGAAGAGTGTTTAAATTCTGCAAGTTTCTTGAAAATTATGAAGAGACAAGTTGTGTTTAATATACATGCAGATTAAAAATAGATTAAAAGGTTTTTTGTAGCCACTCTGCTCCTTAATTCATTATGGATAATACTGGGATTTGCTGATAAAACCAAGGGGGATCTTAGTAACAATCTAATTATCAACTCCCAACATAGAGAATCCAGGAGCTAACTCCTCCAGGAGATTGTTTTGTGATAAGAAATAGATGCCTCATGACTTAGAGTCTGGGTAAGTGCTCCATGTTGCTGTCTGTGCCCTTCTCTCAGTTCTTTAAAAATCTCCAAAACTTCAGACTATTGAACTTCATTTTTGTTTGTCTAAATTATGATGAACATCATGAAGACAGCTTGCAGAAACAAGCCAGCACACATGAAGCTGGCATTGCCTTTCATTACACTGAACTGACTGGGGCAATGTGCAGTTACTGGCTATCTCTGCTTTGTTATTAGATAGTTTTGGTTTTCCACATTCCAGGGTTTTGTCTTTTTGCCAATCTCTCCTATTAATGTACATTGAAACCAGCAGGCAAAGCAGTCCCAGACACCACTGCATGCATCCTAAGCTTCCTGCATCTTCAAGCCATGCCCACTCCACCATATAAAGAACAGATGCCACAATTGCTGTTAAAAAAACCCCAAAACTTGGAAAGATAATAAATCTAACTGTTCTTGGCTTTTTTGGCATAGAAAAATTGTAAGATGCCTCCAAGCAAATGAATGTTTTGAGCCATTTCACAAAGACTGCTGTGAAGTTTAGAAATGCTGAAAACCAGATTGTTAGCCAGAAATTTAATACACTTTTAGCAGCTCCTAACAGCAGTAAGAGTGCCCACCAAGCTAAGCACATCAAAGCAGTGAGCTCACATCCTCTGTTGTTAAGAGTACCTGCATGTTCAGTAAAATACTCCCAGCTCCAGTCAAAGTCTAATAAGATCACAACCTGAACAGAGCAATAACCAGGTTTCAGCAGCAATTTTTCCCACACAAAGTCTAACTAAAATGAGATTAACTCCTACCATAAACCTGCAATACAGGACCAAAGGACAGCATGAAGCTGTGCTGGGGAGGTTCAGGTGGGACGTTAAGAAAAGTTTTTCCACCCAGAGGGTGGCTGGGCACTGGAACGGGCTTCCCAGGGAAGTGGCCACAGCACCAAGCCTGGCAAGGGCTCAAGAAGTGTTTGCAGGGACATGCTGTGCTCTCAGGGACGTGCTGTGACTCTGGGGCTGTCCTGGGCAGGGACTTGAGTTGGACTCAATGATCCTTGTGGGTCCCTTCCAACTTGGGATTTTCTATGATTCTGTGGTTTGAAGCAAGAAGCAATAACACCAGGTCCTGAGCACCTGAACCTTCTTCACCCTCAGGCAAAGTAAATCAGACTGACTGCAATGAAGTGAAAGGCAGCAATGAGAAAAGTGTCTCTGGCTTTACCTGGTGTTAAACAATTTAAGAATGCTGACTTTCCTTCTGAAGTACAAGTTTACATGTGTGATTTCTGATAGTTTAGTCACACTGATAGGATGTTTCCTGATTCTGTGAGCATCACACATTTTCATGTGGAGGTATATTGGACATATATTGGACATACATTGGTCTTTCTATACAGAAACATTGTTCACCCAAACAATGTTCTCAGAAACTGTGATCTGGTTATACTTTGACTGTTCAGTTATGCTGAACACTTCAGCTCTGCACAGAATATAGAAAACTCACCAGAGATCAGAGTCCCTGCACATGAAAAGACAATGAAGTAAAAATATTACAATTATTGCCAAAAAAACCCCACAACAAATGCAAACATTGAATATCAAGTATGATTCTCCAAGGCATAGGAATGAAGATTTTTTCCCTATAGTATTCCACAATAAGGAAAGATGGCAATGTTAAATCTAAATTAAAAACAACAATAAAACAGTTTTGTAACATGATTAATTTAGGATTAAAACTACATTTACAAGCAGCTCAACATGTGAAATATTTAGTGAGGGAAAATTTGAAGCCTCAAAAACCCTGGCTTCACTGAAGGTAATGGGGGACTTATCATTTCCTGACACAAACCCCAGACTCTGCAAATTTTCACTGAAGTCCTGAAAACCCAGTAACCACAGAGAAATCACCCTGTGACCAAGTTTCACATGGTCTAAGTAGCACTGATTACATTTCCAAAATATTATCCAGTTTTAACACCTGCCAGATATCCAGGAATCCTAAATGGAAGTGCAGAACAACAACTACATATATTTAGCATTTTCAGTTTTTAATGGTAAATTGTTAAATCTCGTCATAGAATTTTAGTTAATTTATATTAGCAGAATTTTATTGCTCCACAGGACAGTAATAACTGCCTCTCAATTTAAGTCTCTCTCTCATGTAATTTTCCCAAGACTTGCAGCTCTACAAAATAGTAGTATACTTTTGGGATGGAAATAAAATGCAATTATACATCAACAACTGTATTAGAGATAGACACATTGCATTTAATTTTTGTTAATGCTTCTTGCAATTTAGCAGTAAACTGCTTCAGACTTTTTGTTAGTCTCAGTGGATCTCAGAATCTGAGACAAAGAAATTTAGGCCCTTCAAAATTGTGCTATTTTAGTTTAGTATTTTGAAAACAAACAAACAAACCCTAAAAACCAACCTCCAAAAATTTGATGGCTAGTATTGCACCTTTAAATAGAAGATCCTGTCAGATGTCTGGAGTGTTTCATGAGGTCACTCAACTCAATAACTGATTCTAAGGCAACTTCATACAATTGTCTGGCTTCACATAACACTTAATTATCAATAAACACAGAAAACATTCTAAAAATAATTGGAGGCTTAAGCCTTTCACTCTAAAATTTCACTAAATTCCCCCTTTCCCATCCCAAAGAATCTTTAAGGGCACTCAGGATAACCAAGTTGTTACTCCTAAGCCACATACAAGCCTCAGGCTGCCAAAGCAGCTTCCAATGCTGATTGGCAGCAAGCCTGCTGGTGGACAACTAAAACCCCTGGTTATGAGAAATCAGTAAAGGGATGGAAGGAGCAGCTGAAGCAAACACAGCCACCCATGATGGCAAAAGCTTAGCACTAGCTGTTTTTGAAGAATTTCCAATCTTATTACTTGAAGGGTTTACAGTTCTACAGACATATAGAAGTGTCAAGTGCCACCTTTCAGGTACTGCCAGATGCTGGGGTGCCTTACCATGAGGCTGGGTCAGAAGCAGCTCAGGTGCCAGGTAGTCTGGGGTCCCCAGGATTCGTTCACCCTCCACGGGGGCAGCTCCTCTTCGAACGCTCTTTGGAGTCCGGTACGGTGTGCCAGCGTCCCCCTGGTAAGGGGTCTGAAAAATGGGACAAGGACTCAGATGTCAAACAAAACCAGCTCACAAACTCCCAGCTCCAGGTTTAGTCACAGATGTGGTAATTGATACTTAAGTTCAAGCCAAGAACAAGTTACAAAACATTCCCTGAAAAGCATGTGTGAAATGTGCTTCCAGTGCTTTATCTCAACAGTCTTGAAGCATAAAGATGCTTACTCTTTGAGAAACTTTTCCTTAAGTTCTTTCTCCAGTGTCACATCAGCAGCTAGCACTGTTCACATCAATCTTTGCAATAGGCTTGTAACTGGCACTTGACAGAATATGTTACACCATCACTTTTAACAGGATTAAAAACAAAAAAAACGTAGCAGGTACAATGGCAGTTACCAGCAGCTGAACAGCATTCACACTGTCTTGGGAAGAGTGCAGGATAATGGAAAAAAAAAAACAAAAAAGCCCAAAAAAACCAAAACCACTAAGATTTCCCATTACATTAGGAAACCTAAAACTGCTCACAGAAAATACGACACTGCACTAGGAGCAGAATGAGAAAAAACAGCACAGCTTTTTTTTAATCAGTTCACTGTAACAGCAAAGATTTCTCAGAGATGGACAGTCAATGCATGTTGAGCCAAAGGCAAATCAGTGAACATAAAGCTACTGCTAAATTCTTACAGATATTATCATTTTGGCCACACAAGTGCAGCAAGTGAGGCCCTGTCCACAGAGGTCATTTTGACAGACTAACTCAAACTATTTGAGTTTTCCCTAAATTTACCACTGAAATAATTTCAGGTCCCTAATGTCCAATGCATGTACAAAGTTTCTATCTGCATCCTTACCTACCTGATAGACCTGATATGGTCTTCCTTTCTGTAATGGAGTGATAGCTGTTGGGTAAGAGCCACTGCAGGCAGGTGAAAGATCCATTATATCTAAGGAAGCCATGCTGCATGGCTCAGATATATTGGATAGATTGATTGGACTATTATAGCTCCGAAAAGCAACGGCATTTTTTTTGAAGAGACTCAGTGCTTCCTTCATCTTTGCTGAAGGAGAAGATACTGTGTCAAGGCAAGTTTCTTCCATGTGTTTCTGGTCATTATCCTTTTTCTGACGTGCTAGCTTGCAGTTCTGGACTGTATGTGCCTCCTCTCCATCCTGTAAGGCATCTCGGGACTCTGGTGATGTTATTAGCACACCTTCGGGTTTTGGTTCCTCAAAGGAGAGGTCTTTAACACTTCTGTCCAAATCTAAAAGCTGTTTTTCTAGATGGCTTTCTGTAACAGACCCTTCAGGAAGTAAGTCAGAATCTGCACTGAAGACATCTAAAGGTTTTTCATCATCAATGACCAAAAAACTGGAGTTCATGTACTCCTTTTCATCATCCCTTCCACAGTCTGCATCCAGATCACACATAAGATTTTTAGCTACAGTTGGAGTAAGCGATCTTTCTACTGTTTCCTGGTTACCAATAAAACTCTTAACTTCTTCCTTGCTTTCACAGCTGTCACAAAGGCATCCATCACTACAAAGCATCAAGGATTGAATTTCTGTTGTCAAACCTGTCCCTTTGTTTGCAGCAAATTCTGAGATCTGACAGCCACGTTTATATTCTGCATTGCTTTTTTTAACATAGTTCAGCTCCTGACAAGGACTAGTGTCAACTGATTCAAAGCTTCTTTTTACACCTGGCTTTTCAAACATTACTTCCTCTTTGACAGGCTCATTCTGCCTCCAAAGCGATTGTTGTAGTCTGGAAGTCTCCACTGTTTCACAAGTCATGTCTCTTTTATTTACAAAGACTTTTTCTTTCCAAATCTTGTCTTCAGAAATACACTTTCTTACTACTTTCACATCCAGAGTGCTCACAGGAGTATCTGTTATATCCAAATGTTCACTTCCCAGCTTCTGCCTGCTGCCAGACTCATTGCTGGCAATGGGAGAAACGGCAGACTCGAGTTCTTTCCTCTTTAAAACTTCTTTGCTATATGGCAACATAGCATTTGAAAGGAGAGCTGACCCACTGTTACTGGTTTTGGATGTTGTAGAATGAGGTTCATCTTCACTTTGCTACAAAAAAGCACATTAAGTTTTGACTATCAAGAAAAATATGATTACAGCATTATAGAAATGTTTAATTTGAAATGCTTTATTACAACCTACATAATGAAATGCAGATTTGCAAGCATTACTCATTCTAATTGCTACTAGTGAAAACCATACTTCAAAAAATAAAAAATATCAAAACCAAATAAGGGATGACTTTGTAATTTGATTTCTTTTAAGAACATAAAATAAGCTCATTATAATACAATAGAAAATGACATATTTTTAAATGCCAAAGGATGAAAAAATAGAGCAATTGATGTTGTATTTGTGACTTTATTTTAAGAAGCTACAGAAGTTTTCAGTTTCCAAGAAAGTCCAAAGGAAAGAACCCCATTATAGTACCCTGTGGTATATTACACTTCAGAGATGACAAAAGGAAAATCTGATGTCCCTAATGTTTTGATAACATAATACTAAAATCAAGGCCTAAGAAACAGATAGATACATTTAAAACAATTTATTATTCTGTAAGTTGTTCTGTATGCTCTAAATAGGAATCATGGCAAGGAACTGCATAGCACAGTATTTTCTTTTAGGTTTGTGTTTGTGCAGAATTTCACGAACACATTAAAATAGGATAAAATATTTTAGGATAAAATATTAACAGCTATAATTATTGGTGTTAGGTTAGTTGGTTAGTTGATTCAAAACCCTTCAGTAATGAAGCCTTAAACTTTTCAGTTTAACAGCTACTAGAAGTTTGAAGTGGATTTTATTGTTTTCCCAAGTTCTGTCTTTTAAATAAATTCTTTCACCCACAATGCTGAGCAAATAAAGCTATAGGGCCAAGGTCAGCTTCCAAAAAGCCACTGCTCCCAGCAGTGCCCATCTTGTGCAGGACAGGGCTAAACCAGTGATGGTCAGGGAAGCTTTCTCTTTCACTCCTTTGCTGCAGGCTCAGTAGCATTTGCTTCTCCTGTTATATTGCAAAGGATTAATATTTGTTTGAAGGAGAAGGTTATATTGGTTTGACCCAAAATCCTACTCAACATAAATTACAACCCTTGCTCCTTCTACTGTAGGAAAGTTTCTCAACACTTGAAATAACCGAGGCAAGTAGAGTAAATAGCAGACATTTGCATAGACAAGTACAAACTAATTTAAATTTAGAGTGGGAGGATGAAACAGTCCTGACCTCTACACCTTTCCTGCACCTGGGGCTGATCCAGATTTCTGATTCCACACTGGACAGGTGTGTGTGAGACTGACTACTGACACTGGAGGTACCAAACCTGTTTCTTGACTGAAGCAGAGTAGGAGTTAAACTCCTCGCTGGCATCACAGGTGTTAATTGAGAATTATCCAGATCTTAAGAGAAAAAAAAATTCAAATGTTGATACAAACAGGCAACATGTACTGACTGACTTCACACTATGTTAAGCTTTCACATCAAAGGAAGCTAAGGAAAGCTATGCTGACAACAATTTCTCTTGTCATCTTTCCTGCATAGTCAATTTACACATTTTTTTTAATTAGGAACTTGCCAAGAATGTAAAAGCAGTATAAACATTAGCAGCATAGTTGCCTTCCTTCTCATTTCAGGTTAGAAATGAGAAAGCAGCAAGAGAAGACAATTTAAATGAAAGCATACATTACTTTATTTAACAATTTCCACTGAAAGTATGTCAAGAACTGACACTATTTCCATAAAATGTTAAAGGGCAATTTTGAATTCAGGGGTCATGATTTGAAAAAAACCAATCAAACAAAATCACTTTAGAAGATAACATAAGTAGTGTAGGTGAAAACATGTCATATGTAGAGCACTGGAGGAATGGTGGAGAGCAAGACACCAACAGAATCACATTTAATGAAGTGGGTCCAAACTACTCACATAAAATTAAAAAAGACCACAACCTTACAGGCAGAGTATTCCTCAGCACAAGCCTGGTTATACTCACGTGTTTTGAACAATTTAGTTGAAAGAGGGGTATTTTCCTTCTGGGCCATAGGTACAGGAGAAACTGCTCCATGAGGACTGTCGGATGTTGGACTCGATTTGTGCCCTGGCACTTTCATTCCTACAGGAGGAGTATACTAACAGGCAGAAAGAAGCACAGTTCAAAGTTAATGGAGTCTGAACAAATTCTCAGTCCAGGATTGAGAGTGTAACTTCACCCATTCTTTATGTTTGCATTGGAGCTTGGCCACGCTCATTAAAAAGTCAGCAATTCAAAAGTCCAAGATAATCACATCAGAATTTCAGAGCACTCTAAACATATCACAAGTCATTCTACCAGCTGGCAGAAGAGATGCAAGAATAGCCTTATCATGCCAACTGTTGAATTTAAGATAGTAAATAAACTAAAATGAAATATTTCAAAGACAGTGAAAATTTACTTACAAAGCCCAGAGAACTGATAAGAGACAACAATTGTCCTGGAGTACGTGAGTAGTCCTGTTTTGGCTTTGCCATTGATGGGGTAGTAAGGATATCTATCATATTTATCTCTACAGAAGAAAAGAAAATGCAAAATCAAATAGATCAGGTTTTCATTTTGATATTAAACAAAGTTGCAGACATTTACTTAAGTTTCATGAAGCCGAAGAAAAAACGGAGTCACATACTCAAAAAATATACAAATGAAGCCACCAAGACCAACTGAAGACCTACCTGTAAATTCTTACTTAACACAAGGTGTTTCTTCTTATACATCCAAACATTTATTCATACAGAAGTTGTAGAAGCCAAATTTCTTTTCCAACACACTGTGCAAAAAGCACTACATTTTCTAATTTGATATCAGCTTTGGTTTTTAGGCAGCAGTTCCAGCTTATGGCTTGTGGAATAGGATCCTAAATTTGACTCCTTTTCCAAAAGACATCTCAAAAAAGCTACACAAGAATTTTTCACAGGTGAAAATTCAACCTTGGATACCTTTTTTTTTTTGCTCACTAGCAGTAAGTAGCTTTAAAGATTTCATACAATGTTCAACTAGACACTCTAATAACCTCTCCCATTAGAACATCAGTTAAAGCAGTAGATCATAAAAAATACAGAATACCCAGAATTTTCCTTTATATTCTTAAAACCATGAATCAAACTCCATAGACAACTCTGAATTTTAACATTCCTTTAACTATATAAAAAGGATGTACCCTCCAGCAGCTGTCTCAAAAAACCTGAGCTGGTGCTGTGCAGCCTAAGTTTGGATGATCTGGCTAAGGAGGTACAAACCAGCTCAGAAATTGGCTATTCACCTTAAGATCTGCAGCCTGTGCCAGACAGTCATGACCATTCAGCTACATTTTCTGCTTGAAAAGAGAACATTCACATGCCAAAGCACTGAGCTGATCTTCCCCTTATCCCTCAAACTAATGTCTGGAATGTCCCAGTTAATTTATTGGAAATTAATTTATACAGGATTGAGAGACATGAATTGAAGGCCAGAAGTAGTCAGAGAAACAGGAACAAGCCAGAATTATTCATTCACCCCTTGAAATCTCCCAGCAGACTTCAGAAAACTTTGAAATCCATATCCCTCCAAAGAAAGAGCTCTAAATCTTATTTCATACACCCTTGTCCCAAAGAATAAATATTTTACCTTCTGAAGTGCAATGCTAAGAGCAGACCCCCTACCAGCATGTAGCTAATCAGTACTTACCTATTAGAAATCAGGTATTACTGCAACATTTGCACTTATTTAACTGAAAGGTGCCCTTGGACAGGGATGTGAAGTATTCAAGAACATGGAAATGTGATGCAGAAATACATTTTAACACAACCAATAGGATAGAAACAACTCTTACCTCTGTTCAGAGTAACTCTGGAAAGCCCAAAGTCTGTCAACTTTATATGTCCCTGATTAGAAATGAGCATATTGTCTGGCTTCAAATCCCTGAAAATATGAATATAGCTGGAGTCAGCAAAAAGAGCACTGAGCAACACCAAGGAAGTTCACTGGCCAGAAACACTCAATACAAAGCACTGGTCAGAGCTGTTTAACAGTAACATCTCCTAGCCAGCAGAAGATTCCAGTTTGAGGAACACATCAAATGAATCAAATATATTTAGCATTAAATATGGCACAAACATCTCAGGCTTTGTAAAAATCAGCATGCATGTCAAGAGTTGCATATTTTGTGCTTCAGCAGGCTTGACAAGCATCCTCCACATGTAGCACCATCATAACATTCACTAATGTGCAGCTCTTACAGGTGACAAGCAAAGCTCCAGCAGAGTTCTCATGTGTGGTCTCTGCAGCATTGCTGAGTGCAAAAAGAGCCCTCACCAGTGTCCCTTTGTCCCACAGGCCCAGGTGTGCAGTACCCAGAGGGCTCCTGGACCACCACAGCCAATCCAGCTCTGGACTGGCAAAGAGCTGGCAGGGGAAAGCTCTGTGGGTTTGTGTGCTCAGCACACAGGCACAGATTTGATTTTAGCCATTGGCTCACAGCATTGCTGCAGTGCACACATACACAAAGAGCTTCCAGCAGCTCCAGCAAATGAGGTGCCTGTGGAAGCTGCCACAATGAAACAGTGATGGTTATGTGTTAGAGGGAAAAAATAAAAAACCCAAACTACCAAATGCTTATTTGTAAGGAAAAAAATAATTCACCTGTGGATTATTCCATGCCTGTGAAGATAGTCAAGAGCCAACGCTGCTTCAGAAATATACTTAACAGCCATTTCTTCATCAAAATATCCATAAATATGCAGAAGAGATTTGACATCTCCACCAATAAGGTACTCCATCACCTGCCATTCAAGCATTTTGAATTTAAAACACTTTTTAAAATTGCAAGTAAAATACAAAATAACTTTCACCCCTAGAAAAATATGATTTCAAGGAGCAGAAGCAGAGAGAAGTACCTTTGTTCAAACCTCATTTCCCACTAAATACTTTTCACTTGGATAAAACAATTAAAGTGTCCTGTAACAGCAGGCATTAAACATTTTCTTTCTGTAGACCATTTGCTTATTTTATTTGCCTAGATTACTTTTAGTAGCTAATGACAAACTTTTAACTACAGCTTTTAAGAGTTAACTACAGAAAATTTTCTGTATTATAAATGTTATATATGTCTATATTGAATATGATGCATTTTAACCTATATTTATCTTCATATATTAATCTATATTTAGCTTAATATTGTATATTTCCATAGTGTAGAAAATAAAGTGCAAAGCATTCCTGTGAAACTCCACACCGGAAGCCAAAGACCACCTGTTTTATACAAATCAAAGTATCTCAATACTTTATCTTGCTGTCATTTACACACAATATTAAATTAAGACCTGAGCTTTGTGAAATAAGTACAAACTATCAAAAATGCAGTGAGAGTTAGTGTGCAATTAAGATACAAGAAAAAGAGTGGAAAAAAAATACACCCAGTAGACCATTATGCAGACACATTATGATGGCCCATGTCATACTCAAAATAAAGTAGAAGTCAGCAATAAATAAAATAGAAGTCAGTCAAAATAAAATAGAAGTCTGAAACTCACTCTTTGATGTCAAGAAGGCATTTATGGGGTTTTGGTCAGGAAATCTCATCAGTACTTACAGTTCAATACACAATATTCTTCTAAACACATATATAAACATATATATAAACACACATAAATACACACATATCCAGACATGATTTTAGCGTCTCCTTTACAAATCCTTCACCCTGAAGTCCTCTGCTCCATGCAGCAGTTCAGAGACTCCAGAGAAAGAAGCCTTTGTCTACACTCAAAATGCATTGTAGGAGTGCATAGCAACCTTGTCTCAGAATTTCATCAAGCTGCTCCCTGTGTGTGCTTACAGCAAGGCACCCAAATTGTGCCAGACCCTTTGCAGAGAGTCTGAATCCTTACATGGAAGCAGTACATAAACCCATGCACAAGTCCTGCTGTGCTCCACAGTGCTCTGTGTGGACCAGCATTTAGTTTTGCCACTCAGTTATCATCTTGTCATGTAGGCCAACAACTGTAACAACATCTGAGCACTGGAAATAAGTAAAATAGATTTCCTTTAGGTCAGCCATGGAGTATCTTCCAGTCATTTGGCGTCTGCTTGAACAGAATGATTTCTTGTTTTCCCTAAGATTTCTACATATTTCTAAGACAGAGCAGTTGTTAGAATTTCTGAGTTTCTCCTGTAACAGAGGGGAACATGAGCAGAAAGAGCCCAAAGACACCAGAGGAAGAGAAATATTTTACTTCTTCAACCATTCTGAGAAAGATGCAAAAGTGACTAAGGAATATCATTACAAAAATGTTTTGAGATATCGCTACAGTTCACGCTTAATTTTCAAGACTACCATAAAATGCCACAGCCATTTTTTTACTCACTAAATAGATGTTGTTTGCTGACTGAAGTGAGTAGTACAAGTGCACAATGAAAGGACTTTTACTGAGAGCCAGTGCATCCCTCTCTGCCTGCACCTGGTGAACCATGTTTTTGTTGATCATGTCTGCTTTTTTCATCACCTGAAAAACAAAACAGAGCACACAAATAATTTAACCTCAAAATGCTCATAGTAAAACTGCATAGAGATATATAGCTCTGCAGAGCGACGCCTATTTTGTACGACTGTTTTTATGTTTCCTATTCTTTGTGTACTATGTAGATCGTTATTATCCTTTTAATCACAAAATCGAGCTTGCACGAATAATTGGTAAGCTTCTTACTAACAACAACCTAGATTTTAGCCCTTTGTACAACGGCATAGAAAATACAACAGATTTTTGTTGAGTTTTCTTAAAATACTCAGCAAGAACGCTTTTTATCATTTATTCTCGCCTTCTCTCTCAGGCTTTGCTTTACCCCCCGGCAGGCGCAGCAGCTGAGGGGGCTCAGCTACAGCAACTGTTTACAGGCGGGAGGCCAACAGCACCCTGGCGCTTGGCAAGGTTTTTGCCGTTATTTCCCCTTATTTAAAGTACTTATAAAAGCAGCTGTCGTTATCAGAGGTCCCCTGACCAAACCCTCCAGGCTTCAGTGAGGTGAAAGTGGAGTGTGCCCGAGCTGCGGCCGCTCCCCGAGGAGGGCCCGGAGTTCATACCGGGAACGCCGCTCTCCCGCACAGGGCTGCTCGGCAGCAGCGCTGGACCCCGGCCTCGCCTCACCTTCACGGCATAGAGCCGGCCCGCCTTGCGGCCCAGGTACACCTTCCCGAAGGCGCCGCGGCTGATGGGCTTCACGATGGTGAACTCCTCAATGGAAGGGGGCCGGGGGACCTCGACGCGCACCGAGCCGGCGGCTGTGGCGGCGCTGGGGCTGGGGGCATCGCCCCGCTCCCCCCCGGGCCGCTCGGGTGCCATGGCGCGCCCGGCCCCAGGCCCGCCGCGATTCAAAGCGGCCCCGCCCCGTCACCAATGGCAACGGGAGCTCTCGCGAGAGCCCGCGGGGCGGCCGCGAGAGGCGCCGGCCATGGCGGGGGTGCCGTCCTGTGCCGCCCTCAGAACATGCCCGTGACAAACCACCGCCCGTCTGGGCTGGCTGATCGCCAGGGTGGGAATCTAGGTTCTCCTGCTTGGCTCTAGGTTGTAACTTGCTATGAGCAGGTTCTGTCCTCCCATTCCTATGGGAAGCTTGAAGGTGTCCTTTGCAGGCACAGGAGTTGGACTCCATGGTCTTGATGGTTCCCTTCCAACTCAAGGATATTCTATTTTTGTATAATTTTCTCGCACTTGCATACTTGATAGCTCCAAGACCTGTGTCTAAAATGGCACAGCCAGGAGGGCTTCTCTGCCAGAGAACGTGCCCTGTCCAGTTCTCACTGCTGCCGTTCATCCCTCGTTGTCTCTTTGCATTTTCTGGGCCAGCGATGGCAAACCGCTCCCTGGGTGGGTCTGTGCTGATCAGCAGTTAGATTAATGCAGTCGGTTGCTTCCCACCAATTCTTGATTACTTCATCTGCTATTTATCTTAGACGGTTGTTCCACAATTTGTTTTCTTATTTTGGGTATCTCCATGGCTACATTCTGCCTCCCTCTTGTGACAGCAGGGACAGGGATGGCATTTACAGTGTACTCTGACCTGGCTGCCATCCTCCTGTTCCCAGAGCACAGGCCTTCTGCTCTGTTTACACTGCACAGCCCTCAGTGTTTACCAGTTTTACTGCTCTCAGCTGTGTTCTAGGTCACTTTTTTAACCCTTGCCTTATTGATTTTATGTTGGTCTCACATGTACATAACTGTTCACGTTTCATTCACTCTGATCATAATTGTTCTGTTGCAGTCTGTGCATCAGCAAAGAGCTGTCGCTGCAGAGGTCAGTGCACAACAGCAGATCTCCTTTCACACAGCAGATTCGTTATTAGGCCCTTGTTTTGCTCCAAGATACATCACTTACAATCTGACTCTGCTCAGGGAGACCTTGCTTGTGACTTGTGAAGGCGAGCTCCTATCCCACAGATCCCACAATACCTGCTATTTAATAAGCAAATGCAGAAAACATGTGAAAAACGCCAGTCTCTTGTTTTTGAAATTTTAAAAGTTTAATAATTAAAAAATGGTTATAAAAATAGTAATACAATTAGAGTAATAATAATTTGGACAATTTGAATTAGGACAATATGAGACAATAGAAACAAAGAGTTACGGACGTCCAGCTACCTTTTTCTGGGAAGCACAAGCCTGAAAAAGGACACCTGTTAACAAAGGATTAACCCTTAAAAGCAATAGCCTGTTGCATATTCATACACTTCATACATGATACATAAATTCCATTCAAACACAGGATTCTGTCTGGTCATCATCAGCTTCTTCCTCTGAATCCTAACAGTGCCTTTGAGGTGGAAAGAATTTCGTTTCTTCTGATAAGAGAGTAATAAATTCTTTTTCTCTGAAAGATTTAGGTGTCCTGTGGCTGCTATTTCTCTGTGAGTCCTTCCTTTAAAAAAAAAAGTATCCTACATAGCACAGTTTCTATTTTAACATTTTTTATAACCTAAAACAATATTTAACACACTACTTAAGAGAATTAATACAGCATTACTTTCTAACACAACACATATAACATCCATTTTAATATTTGCGAAAAGCCAATCATAAAACACGCATTTTTCAGAATGTTTTAAATTATCTTTTTGTAATGGTATTAAAATACAATTTATCCTTGTCTGTGTGTCATTTAACTCTGCAACATTAGTTTAGGTGTGTCTCACGGGCTCCAATGGCAGTGGAAAAATCTAGCTGAGAGAAGGGGAGGGTGCTTCTTGTGCTGGCACCTTGGGCAGACATCAGGCTAGGCCAGCAATGGTAGTGCATCAGGAGTGTGTGTTCCACTGCAGCCTGAGCTCATGGAGAGAGGGCAACACCTCTCTTTTCCTCCAGGCAGCGTGACCCATTGTACAGCTAAGTGGAAAGCTGCTCCATGGAGCGGCTCTACGTAAATGTTCATCACCTTTTAGATTTTTTTGCTGTTGTCAGGTGAGGTTTCTGCCAAATCAGCAAGCTGAGCTACATGACTTTGAACAGGAGAGTGCTAGTGGAAAACAGAAGAGATGTATGTACACAGAGGCAGGGGGAGGCAGCAGTGGGGCTGTGCTCATCCCGAGCAGTGAAAGTTGGTGTGGGGCAGCACTTTCAGTTAAGAGCAGTGGTCAGGTAAAAGCAAGAAAACACTAATAAACCCTTGCAAAAATTGGCTTTATGGAAGTCCAGATAAATGACACCTGTATCACTTATCCACTGATACAGTTCC